ATTCAGTTTGCTAGCATTTTGTTGAAGATTTTGGAATCAATGTTTACAAGAGATATTGGTCTGTAGTTTTCTTTTCTTGTAATGTCTTTGTCTGACTTTGTTATCAGCGTAACGCTGGCCTCATGGAATGAATTAGGAAGTGTTCTCTCCTCTTCAATATTTTGGAAAAGTTTGACAGGGACTGATAGTAGTTAACTAGCAGAATTTACTGGTGAAGCCAGGTCTTTTCTTTTCCTTTCTTTCTTTTTTAAAAAATATTTATTTATTTGGCTGTACTGCATCTTAGCTGCAGCACATGGGATCTTTTAGTTATGGCATGTGGGATCTTTTTTAGTTGCAGCATGTGAACTCTTAGTTGTGACATGGAGACTCTTAGTTGTGGCATGTGGGATCCAGTTCCCTGACATGGGATTGAACCCGGGCCCCCTGCATTGGGAGCGTGGAGTCTTAGCCACTGGACCACCAGCGAGGTCCCAAGCCAGGGCTTTTCTGCTCAAGAGATTTTTTTATTACTGATTCAATCTCCTTACCTTAGAGGTCTATTGTGATTTAGTCTTTGTAGGTTTTGTATTTCTAGGAATTTGTCGATTTCATCTAGGTTCTTCAATTTGTTGGCATACAACTGTTCATAGTACTCTCTTATAATCCTTTTCATTTCAGTAGACTTGATAGTGATGTCACCACTTTCACTTCTGATTTTAGTAATTTGAGTCTTTCCTCCTATTTTCTTAGTCTACCTAGCCAAAAATTTGTCAATTTTGTTGATATTTTCAAAGAACAAACTTTTGGTTCACTGACTTTGTTTTTCTATTCTCTATTTCCTTTCTCTCTCCTTTAACCTTTATTATTTCCTTCCTTCTGCTAGCTTTGGTTTTAGTTTGTTTTTTTTTTCTAGTTCCTTAAGTTATAAAGCTAGAGATCTTTCTTATTTTTTTAACATAAGCATTTATAACTATAAAAATCCCCTTAGAACTGCTTTCATTGTGTCCTATAAGTTTTGGCATGCTGTGTTTTCATTTTCTTTGGTCTCTAAGTATTTTCTAATTTCCCTTGTGATTTCTTCTTTGATTGGTTGTTTAAAAGTATGTTGTTTACAGACTTATAGAGAATGGACATGAGGATATGGGGAAGGGGAAGGGGAAGCTGTGACAGAGAGAGTGGCATGGACATATATACACTACCAAATGTAAAACAGATAGCTAGTGGGAAGCAGCCGCATAGCATAGGGAGATCAGTTCAGTGCTTTGTGACCACCTAGGGGGTGGGATAGGGAGGGTGGGAGGGAGACGCAAGAGGGAAGAGATATGGGAACATATGTATATGTTTAACTGATTCACTTTGTTATAAAGCAGAAACTAACACACCATTGTAAACCAATTATATACTCCAATAAAGACGTTAAAAAAAAAAAGTATGTTGTTTAATTCCCACAGTTTTGTGAATTTTCCAGTTTTCCTTCTGTTGTTGATTTCTAACTTCATCCTCTTGTAGCTGGAGATGATACTTTGTATCCTATCTATCTTTTAAAATCTTTTGAGACTTAATTTGTGGCCTTACATATGTTCTATACCAGAAAATGTTACAACAACATGAGCTTTTAGACTAATAATTTTTTTTCCTTTAAATGTATTAATCTTTTAAGTCATGTAGAAAATAAAAAGTTATAAATCTTTGTTACAATAGTACTAGCTTTTATAATTCCCTTTGTATTTACCTTTATTGAGACCTTTATTTCTCCACACAACTTCTAGTTACTGTCTAGAGTCCTTTCGTTTCACCTTGCAGAACTCTCTTGTGCATTTCTTGCAGGGCAGGTCTAGTGGTAATGAACTCCCTCAGCTTTTGTTTACCTGGGGATGTCTTAATTTCTCACTTACTTTTGAAGGACAGTTTTGCCAGATAACAGGATTCTTGATGGGCAGACATTTTTTCTTTTAGCACTTTGAATATAGCAGCCCACTGCCACCTGGCCTCTGAAGTTTCTGATGAGCAATATGCTAATAATCTTACTGAGAATCCCTTGTATGTGATGATTAGCTTTCTTCTTGCTGCTTTCAAGATTCCTGCTCTTTGTCTTTTGAAAGGTTGATTATAATGTGTCTTGCTCTATGTCTCTTTGACTTAATCCTATTTGGAGTGCAATGAGCTCCTTGGATGTTTATGTTCATGTCTTTCATCAAATTTGGGAAGTTTTTAACCATTATTTCTTCAAAAGTTCTCTCTGCTCCTTTTTCTCTCTCTCTTCTCTTTCTAGGACTCCCACAATATACAGCTTTCAATATGTTGAGGTGGTTCCATATTTTATATTCCACATATAAGTGATATGGGATTTATCTTTCTCTTTTTGATTTACTTCACTTAGTATGATAATCTCTAGGTTCATTCACGATGCTGCAAATGGCATTATGTCATTCTTTTTTATGGCTCAGTAGTATGCCTTTGTGTATATATACCACACCTTCTTTATCTATTCATCTGTCGATGGACATTTAGGTTGCTTACACATCTTGGTTATTGTAAATAGTGCTGCTCTGAACATTGGGGTTCATGTATCTTTTTGAATTAGAGTTTTCTCTGGATATACAGCCAAGAGTGAGATTGCTGGATCATATAAGGGTGCCCATCTTTTAAATTTCCTGGAAGTCACTTTAGCAGGTTGGGGAGGGACTTGCAACAATAGGGTATGTGCAACAATAGCTGCCCACCTCTCTGTCTGTACCTCTCTGACCAGAAGCAGCAATCTCTGATCCAGGTACAGATCCTTGATATTTGGAGAAGAGGGTACTTTCTGCCTCCGCTGGCTCCAAAAGCTGTGTGAGAGCTGCACAAAGGTGGCAGCAGAGAATGGCTGCAATTTTACATCTGAGCCTTTTCCTGACAGTTGCAAGTCTTCAACAGCTCCATAGTTCCAAAATAGTTACATCAGATTCTGCCACTGTATTTGTTATCTAGGTGGGGAGGCAGACTCCTGATGCCTCCTACTCCATCTTCCCAGAATCCTCTCCAGGCCTGTTTTTGGGGATCAGTATATATTCAGTTTCATTGTTTTAAATTACTTTATTAGCAGTGCCAGAGTGCTGTGACGTTTTTGCTTGCTTTTTACTGCTTTCAGTGCAAATATACACATATCAGTTATATCAGGAATTACAAGAATTTATGTGCCTCATTTAAAAGGATACTTTCTGTAAGAAAATACATTCTGAGTTCCAAACAACTGATATACCACAGCACTCCTGGAACGAACACAACCCAATGGACTGAGGATATCTTGTCTTGACTTTGGAACATGAATGCCTCAGGTATCCACTTTGGTTTCTTCTGACTAGTGGAAGGCTTAGAACTGACAGGTGATTGGGAGGTAGTGAGAGGGAAGAGGGAGTTATAGCCACTATATAGAGCTATAATCTTGTTGTAACATGGATGTTTTTCTATAAAACAGGTATATATATATATATATATATATATATATATATATCATCAGCTATGAGTTTATACTCAAGAGGAATACAATTTTACCAGGAAAATTATCAAAAAGCTAAAAAATTACAGTAAATACAGTCTACTAACACTCTATTTTTTATAGCAAACTGATTTTAAAGCCCTTACTTTATACCAGACATAGATTCACTTGGATTATCTCAATCCATACAACCACCCTATGAGGTAGGTACTATCATTATTTCTTTGTAGCAAATGAGGAAACCAAGGCTTGAAGAGGCTAGATAAATTTTCCAAGGTTAATAAGAGGAAGTATCACTTAGTATGATTATTTCTAGGTTCATCCACGATGCTGCAAATGGCAGTGATGGCATGATGCCAGAATTACATCCAGATCTGACTACAAAGCCCAAGTTCTTATTAATTAATACATGTAAAAAGCTTAAAACAGAGCTCAGCATATAGTAAATGCAAGCTATTGAAATGGTAACAATACTTTATTATAAAACAATACTGTATGCCTTTGGCACTCAGTCAAAATTTCTATGCCTAAAATTTCTCATTTATAAGATTAGGACACCTATTTCACAGAGTTATTGTGAAAACCAAATAAATTCTGGCTATAAAGGCATTTAGAAAAATATACAGGGCTTAGAAAGACAGGCATTATTATATCACCACTACATGTAAAATCCTGTCTCTTATATCACAAAGAAGGCTTTTGCACTGTAAGTACAAAAGCCTACAATTTAAGCACCATCTTCATAACAAGAGTTACATTAATAAATTTAGTAAAGCTGTCCTAAATTATTCCAATATGATTCTTGCAGAATGATAAGCAAAGAGAACACTGAACTCTATTCACTAGAATGATTATAAATCTGTTGCTCAGGAAGGTATATTTGCTCTTTCAGTTCACTAGCACGGAGGGTGAATTTGGCTTGTACTACAGTAGTTCTGTTCAAATACAGCCAGGACAGAATATCTATAGTTAGAACCATAGCAATATAACTCTATATTTTGGGCACAGCTAACTGCTGTATTTAATTTCATTAAGACAATCAAGAGGATAGCATTCAAAAACCTTGTTCTTTGTGTAAGTGGTCTGGTTGATTGTTTTTAAACTATGTGGGTAGGTCTTTTTTTTTTTATTGATATACCTTAGTTTTCTGTTTATTTTTAACACTGCTAAGGATTTTTCATTATTTATATTACTCTAAGAAAGAGAAGTTAAAAAAAAAGGCTAAGGAGGGAGATTCTAGTATATTCTGCTAGTCACTAAACCAGAGCCATTCTGTAAAAAGTAAGGATATATGCAACATAGTTTCCTTGGTTAGCTGAAATTTTAAAATATATATGTACACAGTAAACCGAAAAAGTACCCAAGTATTTTTAAGCATCTATCCATGAATATGGTTGTATCTGCATACCTCTAAATAGATATTCTTCCTTTAAGTTTTTTATTCTACTAAGGGCAATGTTGGTGAACCACTTTGCAATTCACAACCCTCTATGAACTCCCCCTTTTTTTAACTCTCAAAAAAATCAATTACATTACTTACAAATCACTTCAATATCTGGTACTTTATTTTCTGGAAACTCTTTATGTCTAATCTAAATTCCTTGTACTGCAATTAAACCAGATCCCTCTCATTTTTGTTTTGTCTGTAAGAGACAAGAAAACCAGGATAATCAAGAAAGATTAAGCACATGCTTATGTATATTTAAACTGCCATCAATTCATTTCCCTATGGATAAATCTAAAATATTAATAAAGAAACATTTCTTTATTTTAGACACAGTTTTTGAATTACGCTAACAAAAGCTTACTTAGTAAATAAAAATGATTGTAAACAGCTATCAATATTAAGGAGAGAATAAAAAATGAGTTCATTCATTTCTCCATATATACATTAAAGCATGCAACAACTATTTTCTGAGTATCAACACTCTTTGCCAGGCACTGAGTTAAATGTTAAAGAAATAAAGAGGACATACACATTCTCTGATTCTAAGGAGCTTACTGTTTAGTGAGGGAGGCAGACAAGCAAAGGAATACATGGCAGAGTTACAGATCCATGTATCCATGTGCCAGTGCCATCAGAACATTTAACTCAGAGCAGAAGGAAAGAGAAGTGATCAAGGAGCCTTCCTAGGAAAGGTGACTACTAAGTCAAGTCCTGAAAGACAGATGGGAGTTTTCTAGGGCAAGGTCAATCCAAATGAAAAAGAGTGCATACTAAAGCACAGAAACCTAAAAGAACATGGCAGCCTCCAGAACCAAACAGTTCCTTTTAGTTGGAATGTATGGTATGCATGGGAAAATAATAGAAGATAGGCAGGAAGGTAGGTTCATGCCATTTCATGAAGCGCCAGTTTGCACTGCTGAGGACAGTTCACATTTTCCCTTACAATCTTAAAGACACCACTAATGTCCTACCAAAATACTTTCCTATAGAAGCATAAAGTCTAGAATATATACAAGGAGAACATCTAATTCCTAAGAATAAAATTAATGGTGTTTTACTGTGATGCCTAAAGTCTAACCTATAAGTCACAGCATCTATCTATAAACATAAACATTCTCCCAACAGTATCCAGACCTGCAGTGAGTGTCATTGTAAGATGATGACCTGAACCTCGGATTCCCTTCTTTCATTTCTGGAAAATGTTACCCACTTTAACCTCATATTTCACACTGAATTTGACAAAGTCACTTTCAATCATGCATTTGGGTTTTTAGAACAGAAATCCAAGAATCTGTATGTATATCTTTATCTACCATCTATATTTCTATCAATCAAGAAGTGTGTGTGTGTGTTTAGCAAATACTGAGAAAATGGTACTAAAATGGCTTATGATACAAAACACAACTTTTACCTTTAATAACACCAGTCATAATTCAATCCTGGAATCACCTATAATCTTGGAACATACTCATACCCAGAAACACTGGTGATGAAATTTACACAGTTAAATCTGGGTGCCCATAGTCTCTGCCCTAAGATATAAAAACAGACATATAGATGTGCAAACCCAGCAGATGAGTTACATTCTGCCTTAGCTAAATGAATAATGTAATCAGTACCAATGGTAACAATCCCAGCACCTCAAATTACAGGAAAAAATATCATCAGCCTTGGGAACTCCCAAAGAAAGTCTTAGTTTAAGTGCTCTATGTTGCAATATAAAAATATGTACAAGAAAATCAAGTACTGTCCTCCAGCAACATCAAGGGGTGAACAATCTATATGACAGATCATGTAGCTCTCTCTACTAAACATTCACAGATTGCACCACAAAAAGAAGACACATGATTGTAAGGTAGCAGTAAAAAAGTATATGCATTCTCCAGAAAGCATTTATCATTAACTCTGAAAACTGGAATACATATATTTGATCTTATGGAGACAGTGCATTCAGTTTTCTCTAAGTATTATACATCAGAATTCCATGTTTGTATTTTTCAATTCGGTTATTATTTCTACATATTATTCTTACAACTGTGTCAAATTAAACCAATGATTGCTTAACCCTCATAATAAACCTCTAGTTTATAAATTTACTAATAGACACTAGTCCCCTAGCAGGCACTGAACCCTAGCATAATAACTATTTAACTTATGAGGTTTTACTAACCTGACTAACAATAAAAGGTAAAATCTAAATATGAATTTTACAATGTTTTTCTTAGTATGATACACCTAATAGTTCTTAAAAAGAATTTGGCTTTATGGCTTTATTCTTTAAAACAACAAAACACTGGGCTTCCCTGGTGGCACAGTGGTTGAGAGTCTGCCTGCTGATGCAGGGGACACGGGTTCGTGCCCTGGTCCAGGAAGATCCCACATGCCGTTGGAGCGGCTGGGCCTGTGAGCCACGGCCGCTGAGCCCGCGTGTCTGGAGCCTGTGCTCCGCAACTGGAGAGGCCACAACAGTGAGAGGCCCGCGTACCGCAAAAAAAACAAAACAACAAAACACTAAATGCAAACCCCTCGAACTTCAATTTCATGTTAAATGAATATACAAATTATTCAATATCAATCCAACTACAAACATCAATAAAACACTACAAGACATACAAGAAAATCTCTAGGCAACTTCACTTTTTATATAATACACTTAGCCTAGAGCTAAATAAATATTAATGAAGAATAACAGAAAAGTAAATAAAAAGATTAATTTTCAAAACTGAATATACCGGTGTATGAGAAGAATATACCATAAATCTGCATTTTCAAACTCAGGTGGTTATCATGCTAGTTACTAGACTCTTATTAACAGTCTAAATGTTGACTGTGTGTATATAAAATGTACACACACATTCAATTTGCTCAAAATACACTAAGCCAAATGCCAAGCAACTCTAAAAAAAATCCTCAAAACAAACTGCCTCATGAATAGGTCACTCATGACTTTCTGCACTTATCTCAATCTAAAATGCTCTTAAATTCTCTAAGGAAAATAAGCTTGATAATTTATTTTCTACTTTTAGAGCAATGCGTTCAAAATTACTGCCATAATCTAGCATTAAACTCAGCTAACTCAAGTACCCCACTGATAAATATGTTTGATGTGTGTGTTTTCTAACATTCCCCACCCTCACAAAATACAAGAAAAAAAGAGTTAAGCAGGAATATTTACATCAGAGTAAATATTTGATGAACTGTTTGGGGCCATTAATAAGCACTGCTTAAAGAATATTTAATGACAAAGAAAAATGTTCATGGTATAAAAAATTAAGCAGAAAAAAAAGACAAAACTGTTCTTTTAAAATGCAATATGGTATTCAGGATTGGATCCTGGAACAGAAAAGGACATTAGTGGAAAAACTGGAAAAATCCAAATAAAGTCTGTAGTTAGTTAATAAAATTATACCAGTGTTAATTTCTTAGTTTTGACAAGTATACTCTAGTTATATAAGATTAATATTAGGGAAAGCTGAATAATGGATATATGAGAATCTCTGTACTACCTTCGCAACTTTACTGTGATTCTAAAATTGTTCTGAAAAAAAATTTTATTTTAAAAATTACTTTGCATGCCCAGTAGCAAGTTTGAGAAGATTCTCATTTAAAAAAATAACACACTTACTTTTCTCTCTCCCACTCCTAAACAAAATACATAAACCTAGAAAAAGACTAGATGAAAACACATTAAAATGTTAACAGTGGTTCACTCGGTAGCAGGATGAAAAGCATTTTTCTCTTCATATTTTCTATAGTGTGAATTGCTTTTATAATCAACAATAAATCGTTAACTAAAGAATATACAAATCAATACTTTATTAAAGGCTTCTTCAGTAAGAAAAGCTATAAATGTCTAAGCAGAGCCCAAAGGCAGACAACATATAAAACAGGTTAGGGCAGAGTGTGAAGAACACAGTGGCCAAGAGAAACTGCCAGGAGAACCTAAGTAGGCAAAACCTAATTAGTAAATGCTGGAAACCTGACGATACACGAACTTAACATCTACTCTTAGGCTAAAGGTGCTCACAGTCAGCAATGTTATGCTCAGAATTCATGACTTAGGGGAATGTCCCAAAAGTCCCCCTAACACTAGGAACTTATGGGATACGTACCCTGGGTTTATTCCAAACAAAAATAATGCAGCTAGACATGCACAACTGCCCAGTGAGAGCTTCTAGAAATACATCAGGATGACAGTGTGTTCTCTAAATTTTTCTACTTTTTTCTTCTCTAACACCTCCCTACAACCTATGCCCATGCCCAGTCTTTAGCCCAAAGACCAAAAACGGCACTCTGATGTCATTTAGCAACAGGGGTAGAGACCATTAGAACAAGAGAATCAAATATTATTTCAGATGTCTGACAGGTGAGTATCACAAAAGTTTTTCAATACTTTCAGGGCAAAATATGCTGACAACCTCATTCAACCATAAGAGGGGAAAATTTAATCAACAACAAATGTTCCCCAATCAAAATAAAAAAATAAAATACATTTGTCCCTTAAAGAAAGTGCCAGTCGAATCAGACAGAATGAATTCTGATAAAGAACTTCTTTGAAGGGACTTCCCTGGCAGCCCAGTGGTTAAGACTTTGCCTTCCAACGCAGAGGATGTGGGTTCGATCCCTGGTTGGGGAGCTAAGATCCCACATACCTTGCAGCCAGAAAAACAAAACAAAACAAAACATAAAACAGAATACTGTAACAAATTCAATAAAGATTTTAAAAATGGTCCACATCAAAAAAAAAATCTTAAAAAAAAAAGAACCTCTTCCAAGCTGTAATCAGGGTGATTTGTGTGTATCGGGCTGTCTAACCCTCCTGAAACAGTGCTATGTGGCCTGTTCTGGGTTTTGTGTTGTTTTTTAAAGATAGATTTGAATTTTTACTTTATTTATGGTCAATATTCTCAGTTGATAGCAGGTCCTAGAGTTGTCACTTAATAAATATGTACGTGCTTTTTTTTTTTTAGTTTATTCTTTTGAATCCTGGACTCTGTAATCAGATACCCATGCCTATTAAGAACGGGTGCAAAATGAGGCCCTCTACTGAGATCACAGAATATTTTACGTTCAAGAACATGGTCTTTACTTCATGAGCTTCTTAATAGCAATTGTAAGCATCAGAAGCCTCTTCTGCTTCCTTTCCAGTTCTTGGTCATGTTTAAGAAAGTAGAGGCTACCAAAATAGTGATTCTC